TACATTAATATAAAATTTTTATATGATTACTTTTTTAATTGATTTAGCCTTAAAAAAAATTAATTTATTATATATAATTTATAATTTATTATATTATTATAAAATTAATTATTAAAAATTATCTAATTTTTAATTTATTACAGAAAATAATTTCAATTAACACATGTATATATTATCAAATAAATATAGAACTTATAATATATGTATATTGTTTATTTTTTTAACATAATTATATATAAATATAATAACACATAATATAATATAATAGCACACAAAATTGTAATACATTCCTAAATTTAATTAAATTATACATAAAATAATACATTTTATTAGAAAACAATTTTTAAAAAATATGCATTTCAAGCTATATATATATATTATATGTTTGTTTTTTCGTTTTTTTATATATATATTTATAATTTTTTATATTTATATATTAAATTATATATTTATTATAATTCATATTTTTAATGTAATATTATTAATCTTTATTTACAAAAAAAATATTTAAAAACAAAAAGAAACATATAACAAATTTACATTTTATATAGATTTAAAAATCATTTAGTCAGTTACATATATGTTTTATTACTATATTGATAAAAACATTAATGTTGTATATATAACTATACAAATTTAATGACATGATATATGTTATTAATTTGCACCTTTCTTATTTAATATTTTCGTTTTATATCATATCGTATATATTATCGTTTTTATATCATAGTTAACGAGTATAAAATTTCACAAATAAATCCTATCCATGCAGTACTTATACAATATTTTTTACAAATTTAGATTTCAAATATTTATTATACAAATACAAATTTCACTGCATATTATTTTCTGGATAAATATTATATATTATATATAATATTTTTTTTATTGTAAGAAATAAATATTTCTCTAAATATTCTCTTAGTTCAATTTATAGTGAAAAATGCAAATGATATAAATAATATTTACTTGAACATATTTTGACTAATTTATTTCTGACTTAAGAATATGGAAATTTATGTTCTTAATTTTTATCTTGAAAGTTAGAAATTTATATTATTTTTAGAGATTGATATGAAAAAGTGTAAAATGTACCATTCAGTAAAAAATGGTTATATTAAAAATATACTAGATTATATAAATTGTATTCTATTCAAACTGACATGTTATATTTTATGATAGAAATATAACAAAACAGTTATTTATTAGTTTATAATAATTAAATTAAGATGCATACTTTTTATTTTATATATAACAAAATTTAATATTTTCAAAAAATCATATGGTATATACAGAATATATATATATATTAAAACATTATTGTTTTAAAATTAGAACATATAATATCATACTTTATTTTTTCTTTTCTCATTTTCTCCCTTTCTTTATGTTTTATAAATTAAAA